CAAACCTCTTTTTTTCCCCTATCCATTATTATGGATGTTGGACCACCACCCCCCAACCCCCCCCCCAGCCACAGGGTGGGGGGGGGAATTCTGGGAGTTGAAGTCCACACGTCTTCAAGTTGCCAAGGTTGAGAAACGCTGTCATAGACTATCATAATACCCATGATAGTCTATGATAGTGTTTCTCAACCTTGGCAACTTGAAGACGTGTGGACTTCAACTCCCAGAATGCCTTCCTGCCCCTCCCAGCTGGTCAAGGCTGCCTAGGCGAGGATGTGTGATTGGATTTAGTTGGTGGTTAACTCCTCCTTGAGGGAAGGGGGCTGTAACCCCTTCTCAAGGGGCCACCACCCACCCCAACCAGTCTGGCCAGTTTTCATGCGGTTCCCAACCCTCCCTTTTGAGGAAAGGTTGTGGAGAAGGTGGTCACGCTGCAGGTTCAAAGGACTCTGGATGAAGCGGATTATCAGGACCCTTTTCAGTCAGGATTCAGGCTGGAGTTTGGGATGGAGACAGCATGGATGTCCTCAGGCATGAGCAGAAGGGGGTAGCACATCCCCCCTTGCTCTTCTTGACCTCTCAGCAGTTTTTGATTCCATCAACCATGGTATCCTTTTGGACCAGCTCCAAGAGATGGGGCAGGCAGCACTGTGTCATGTTGGTTCTCCTCCTTCCTCCGGGGCCGGTTCCAGTTGGTGTTGATAGGAGGGGAGAGGTCCAGCCCACAGCCCCTCCTTTATGGGGCACTGCAGGGCTTGGTCCTTTGGTTCCTGTTGAACATCTACATGAGGCTGCTGGGTAAGACTGTCTGACAGTTTGGGATGAGGTATCACCAGTATGCTGATGATACCCAGCTTTACATCTCTACCCCAGGCTGCTTGAGTGATGCCGTGGACGTCCTGACCCAGTGCCTGGAGGCTGTGGGGGCCTGGGTGGGGCCCAACTGGCTTCTGCTCAACCCAAGCAAGACTGAGTGGCTTTGGGTGTTTGGACTTTCTGGGGCGGGGGACTTTCCATCATTTGTCTTGGATGAGACAGACCTCGGGCACAATCTGTGGGTCCTCCTGGACTCAGAGCTCCTGCTCACGACGCATGTATTTGATTGCAGGGTTGCAGACGCCATCTTGTTTTTTTACCCCCTCCCTATGGACAACCCTCCTCCTCCTCATCCCAATTTGTTGCCCCCATTCTGGGGTTAATTGTGCCAATGTTCTTTGTATTGCACAGGTGTCCTTTCTGGAGATATTCCTGAAGTCAGCTGGGCAAGTGACATTATCAAGCATTAACAGTGAGTCCATCCCCCTGTTTCAAAGGGGTGACCCCCTCCTTTGGTTTGGAGTGGAAGCTATGTCTTCCTGGAGCCCCTTCTCTCCTCTTAGGACCAGCCTTTCTCTTTCCTTAGGGAAACTCAGAAGAGGAAAGACGCTTCCCAACATCTTTTCTGTCAGCTTCCAGGATCCTGAAGTCACAATGCATGAGGTGGGTACCTAAGCAAGTGGCATGTGGGCATTTCTGTTTCCCTGGAGAGTTGACCTCTGGACTTGCTACCCCTTTTCCAATGCAGAGGCTTCATGCTGATGTCTTTGTTCAGTTCTCGGGGTTCCAGTATTGGAAAATGGGAATATCCAATAATATTCTCATGATATTCCAATAATATTCATATTATTAGATCTTTTTTAAATCCAGTAAAATTCTGGTCAGCTGTGCTTTATTTAACCAGGCTTAGCTTTGTGTGTGTGAACCCTGCTGTTGCTTAGAAGGATAAGCAGAACAACATTTTTGCTGTTTTTGATTGACTGCTTGGTTTGAGTCAGAGCAATGCAGTTGGGGGATCAAAAGCCAGTTTGAAAAGGCAGATGCTGGAAGAATTGGTGTGGGTGGGAGGTTTGCATTCAATTCCAAAGAGATCAGAAGGCTTGGAGAGGCCATGTTTGAACCAAGTTACATTTCTGCATGATTAAGGGGGAAAAAAACTAAGGTGTGTCTAAAGAAGATAAGATGCTCTGGGGATAACCAAGAGACTGATGCAAGGACACTGAAAGAAGAATGGTGGAAAGGTTATGGGAGAAATGCCTGCCTTTTAAAAACCATGTTTTCTTGGAGACACAAGGCCATTCAAACTAGAGAACCCTCCAATCAGGAAGGGGTTTTGCAAAGGATTTGCTAAGAAGCAAATACACAGGATATATTTTTTGAAGACAAGTACAAACCCCTCAAGTGCGGGGGTCTGCAAGGTGTGGTCAAAGAATCAAGATGGCAGCCACAACAGGGCAATCAGAGCTCCACCTGCGAAGCACATTAAAAAATGGGTGTGACTACAGTTGCATTGCCGAGACTGCCATTTTGACTTTTTTGACCATGCCTGCAGACACCCCCACCCTCAAGAGAGAGGAGAGATGACTGGAGGGTACAGAATTTTACCTTCTTGTGTTCCTTTTCCTCTCTGCAGGGATATATGCTAATAAAATCAGACGTGCGCTACTCCTTCATGACATCAGTGAGTAGCCACGGGATGACAACACGAAGTGAAAGAAGAGCATGAAGAAGTACGAAGTCCATTGGTCCCCTACTTGAACCTGCATTGCAGCAAGGACAGAGACCCCATCATCTTGGAGGTCATCCGGGATACTAGGCACCCACGCTTTCATTAGGGATCAATAATTCCCAGGGATCTTTCCAGGAGCTATTTGATTTATGTAGAGTTTGCTGCCTGGACATGACACCCTCACAGTAGTAGCCCAAAAACAGCAGTTCCCCATGTTTATCCAGCAAAAATGGATATGCTTGAGGACTTTGGAGCCTATCCGAGCAGCCCATGAGAAAGGCAGGGCCTATAGAGGAGGGACGCATTACCGGGTGATGCTGGAGCAAAACGTGTTGTCCCCACCCCTGCAGTTGCTGTAGTTGAACGTTGCAAACTATTTTCCCATAATTTCCTGGAGGCAATATGTTCTCCGTTTCTGGAGCGTTCTCCCGGGAAATTTGAAGGAGGGGAAGGTCAATTGTGATTTTTTAAACATTTGAACTCAGAACTCTGAAACATATCTCAAATCTGAGCTTCTTCAGCCTTCTTCACAAGCTTCAGCCTAAGGAAGCTTGTGTAGATAAATATAAATATACAAGAACAAAGCTGAGCTGTGCTTGCCTGGGCTGTGTTTCTCCAGAGTGGCTTTTGAAGAGTACCAAGGGGATGTCGCAGAAAATCTTTTCCACCCTCCCCAAGTGCAGGACACTGGATAATGGTCTTAGAAGAAGGCAGGTTGAATGTTAGGCCAAACTTCTTGGCTAAGCATGGGGTGGACTGAATGGCCTCAGTGTGCCTTCCTCCTCCAAGATTTTCTGTGGCAACGTCAAATGTTTGTGCTCAACTACACTCCCAGCCGTGTTTTCTTCCTCATCTTCCAACTGTGGTTTTTCTCTCCCTCTTTTCTGCCCCCAGCAAGTAGCAGGCCATGGTTCTGAAGCACATCCCATCATCTTTGACTGGGTCTCCTCCACCAAAGGGTTGACCTTTGAACCTCAGGGGTTCCTAAAGCAGCCCATTTCCTTCTCCTCATCTGCAGATGGGCTGTTTTGGTACCCAACGAGGATCCTTGCTCAGAAAAGTTCATTATTGGGACTGTGTTAGAACCTTTCCCAGGTCAGTTCCTTAAATGTGTTTTGAGACAAATCAAGTTGCCCTCAGTGTAGAAACCTCAACTTTCCCCCTTCCCAAACCACTCAGGCCTTTTTTTAAAACCCAAAGGAAATCATCCTTAAATTATCATGGGCATAACCCAGCACCATCATCTAGGACTGGTGACCACCCTGGAACTGGTCTCTACCAGCACCGACCATCTCCAACTGCGGTTACAGCTAAAGTCAGGAATAGACCACAAGATCAATAAAGGTTATTTTTAAAAGGTCTTCTTCGTTGTGTTATTTGGAAAGCGTCTCCTGCTGCAGAGGGGGGATTTTCCAGGACCATCTCTTGCAAATCTCCTTTGTTTGCTTGGAGCACGTTCTCATTTTTATTAGAGGCAAAAAGGAAGGGCGAGTGAACTGTCCAGAAGTAGGCAAAGGGGCTGCACCCCAGCTTTCTCCACCTGCCGATTGTTCAGTTAGAATATGGGGTAAAAGAGCATGCAGCTGAGCGTCGCCCCAATTTTGGGAAAGGGACCACGGAGAGGAGATGGAAGAATTGTTGGGGCTATTGCTAACCTTGTGCTGCCCCCTAGTGACCATCTGGATCCTTGCAGCACGTATTCGGTGGGTCTCATTCTGAAGGGGTTAGCTTAATCTCAATTCCAGGTTCGTGACTTTTGTGAAAAAGCAGCACAACGGATCTTGTCCCACGGATCCCTAGATGTTTTTGTGGGTGTCCACATCACAATACACAGGAGAGACCAATCAAAGTCTGTTGGAGGGGGCGGGCATAAGTTCAATAAAATAAATTTTAAAAAATCAGCATCGTGCCTTTGGATTTTCAGATAGCCTTTGGGAGTGTTGGGGAAAAGGCAGGAACACTCCGGGATTGGAACTTGGCTGTGTTCCCACAACACATTTCAACTGGCCAGCAAATTAACCCCTTCTCTGAGTTTACAACTCTACTGACCCACAACCAACCAGCTGATCTAGATTTGCACATCAGGAGCTGATGTTAAAACTATCCAAATGTAGGACATTTTAAGAATTAACCCCCACATCTGTAACTACTTGGGATCAGCATGTTGTGTGAACACAACCGCAGGACAAGAAAGACGGACAACTTTCAACGGAGACATGTTTTACGTGGGGCTCCCCTGGAGTCACTGTGGGGAGCAGTATTTTTTAGGGTGCCTTTCAATGATCTGATATTAGAGATGAACAGGGAGATGAAATATTCGGGGCAAAAAAGTAAAAAAATACATCACACCCCGAGACGTGCATGGCCTTCTTTAGGGAAGCCGATCAATGAGATTTTTTTAGTTTCACTGTCGTTGCATGGAGTCAGTTAGATTGTTCTCGGGCTGTTATTGCATTATTAAGTTATTTTTTGTGGTGGTTTTCTTTTGCTTCTGGTTTTTAATGGCGTAAGGAGGAGGTTAGAGAATTTGACGGTGAGGCTGCACCAGCACGGCTGCCAGCATCTCCAAAAATGGTATTATAGACCTAGAAAAGCTGCAGGAACAGTGACCGAAACAGTTGGGGCCATAGAGGGGGCTGTGGGGGTGGGTAGGTCAAAAAGGTCAAGATGGCAGCCACAACTATGCAAAATCCTGCCCAAAGACTTTGGGAGGCCCTGTCAGTTGTTTAGGACAGTGTTTCCCAACCTTGGCCACTTTAAGATGCGTGGACTTCAACTCCCAGAATTCCCCAGCCAGCAAGGCTGGCTGGGGAA